CCCCCCCCCCCGTAAATACGTTCTAGATCCGCGCCTGGTACTAACATGATGTAACACAATGTGCTTTTAAATTATGAAGTAGAAAACTTCTACGATAGTCAAGTAGCATCAGCTTGTATTTCGAAAAACTTCTTTCCACGTCTGCTGACACAATTTGTGTATATTTAAAACAAGAATTTTTTTTATTTGTTATAATCAGTGATTTTTTGTTATACGAAACGTCGAGATATTGAATCAGAATTATTTTAAGTTGAATGTAGATTGTAGAAGAATATTATGCATTTGCATAAAAATCCGGCTCTAATTATGCTATATAACCTACCTCATTTTGTGATATACATGATTGTGTATTTTGCTTTGGTAGGGAATAATCTTTTGTTTTCTAATAAATTAATCAACTAAATTTTTGTCTAAACGTTAATGATCCGTGTCATTATGTGATAATAGTTTAATAATAAGAAAAAAAATGTTTGTTGGATATTTATTTTTTACCTATAGAGTATAGATACTATGTTAATATGTAATTACAATAATAAGTGAAACTATTTTTTACAATGTTAAATGTTGTCAGAATTAATAGAAAATTAATCAATAGAAAAATTTGTCATTCATAATATTATGTGTAAATTAGGTAGTTAAAATATTCAATACCTAGTCAAACATAAACTATATAATAAAATAGGTATACTTAGTACACTGTACATTACGATACAAGTTCAATAAAATTGTTTATTTTAATTTAGAAAATTTGAAAAAACGCAGTCACTCTTTATGTGATCCACATACTGATTAAAAAAGCTAGATTAACCTAACCTACGCGACTAAGACTTTTTCACTAGACTTGCCTGACACTCGAACAAGGCTTTCAGATTTATGATTTTCAACTTTCAATATTCATTGATATAGCAATTTCATGCATTTATTAATATTTAACTATTTTAGAGTGGAGCGATCTTATAATATTAGTAAAGATAGTATAATTTTCAATATAGGTATTTTGATTTTTGACTCTATTTGAGCTACTTATAAAATTTGATATTATTTCGATTTATTCAAGTTTTTTCATTAATGATGATAAAAAATGTTTTCGCTTGGTGGCTTGGTAAAAATAACTTGAAAATTGAATAATATGATATTTCTTATAATGCTGTTTTTACATTTGTTTAAAAATATTAAAGATACCTTGACATAATTTTTTTTATAAGCATTTAAGCATTTTAAGCTCAAATGTTGACAAATTCCCGAAATTCTAAAAATTATTTTGTGGTTAAAAATGTATTAAATATTAAATTTTTATAGCCATGGCCTGAGAATTGAATACATGGTTCCTTGTAAGTATTTCATACTGAAACCGGAAAGTCAAAGAATTATGTATGGACAATATTTATCTGTGTAGACGTTATAAATTGAATTTGGACGAAATTGAATGTTTAAGGAAAGAATAACAATGTCTGTCATTTATTTTGTTATACCTAATTCAAAAATGCTACTCTAGTGAACTTTAAGATACTACATTACTACATATTTACGTAGGTAGGATTTTCATTTTTATACACTGATGTATAAACGAGTTACTATGTTAAAGCTGACAATTATTTTAACCAAAATGTACCAGTCTTTTGTCATGATACTGATGGTAGTAATAATCGCTGAGAGTAATTATTTCTTATCTAGTCGCCGATTATTTTTCCCTCTATATATTTAACTCCCCTTTATTTCGAGAGTAATGATCACCTTGAGTAAACTAAGTAGACATTTTATACATTTCCCATGGTCGTTCAGTTATACTGCGTTCATTCGAAGTTGTTAAAATAAAATAAACCAAATAATGAACAGGCTTGTATCGTTTTCGTTATCGATAACAGGTACGATTATTATAACAGGTATACGTATATTAACAATGATACACACATCTAGAGAGTTGGTACTTCATCACGTCTTGTCAATACTCATCAATTCCGTAAAATGTATATTGTCGTATATTGTACAGTCGACGATATAATAAGTAGGTACCTATTGTTGTAGATGTGTCAACACTGATATTGTTATTATTATTATTATTATTATGATTACGTTATAAAAGTATGGTTATGCAGTAGATGTTATTATTCAATAAAGAGTTACTTGATATACATAAAACATGGCGCTGTGAAACTTATGTATGTCAATGCGAGAATTAAACTGTAAATACAGTATAAACACATATCGTAATACCGTAGATTGTCAGAATGGACTTAAAAGCCCCTAAAGAAATGAGCTTCANATGTGGAGTTAGTTAGTTTTAGATTCTAAAAATAATTATACTGGTAAAAAAATTAACAAGGAATATAATATAAATTTTGCAGATCAATTAACACTTTCTAATGATCCCAGTACATTTTGTATGCTTACCAATTTGCCTCACGATATGATAGAGTTTTTAATACAAAAAGGCCCAATGCAACCTTCAAGAGATGATTTGCCCCAAAGTAAATTTCCTCATAATAAACAAAATCGTAGTTTTCAAACCAATTGGTATTGGAAAATAATGCCTGGGAATATACATATCCGAAGAGACTGGTTAAGCTATTCCATTGTTAATGACAAAATATACTGTCATTCGTGTATTATTTTTGGAAGAAATGTCAAAAAAGCGTGGGTTAAAGATGGGTTTTCTGCTTGGCATAAAGCCATAGAATGTATGAAACTTAACGAAATTTCAGAAGCTCATGTGAGTGCAGCATTGAAATTAAAATTGAGACAAACTGCTCTTCCAATAATTCCATTAATGAGAGAAAATGAACTGCAGAATAAAATGTACAATCGTGAAATTGTTAAAGCTTTAATTGATGTCTCACTATTTTTAGCACAAAACTGTGTAGCATTTAGAGGACATCGTGAGAGCTGGTCAAATATTGGTAACCAAGGTAATTTTTTGGAGCTTACAAAGATATTATCAAAATATTCCTCACCTCTTGCTTCATATTTAGAATCTTTAAAAAATTCAGTAAAGAAACCAGAAATAAATTTTACATCAAAACTTCGTCAGAATCAGATTATAAATTCTATATCTACATCTATAAAAGCCAGAATCAAAGAAGAATTAAAAGATGCCAAATTTTTTAGTGTATCTATGGACTCTACTTTTGACTTATCTCGAAAAGAGCAAATTTCTTTTATTGTTCGCTATGTCACAGCATGTGGAAATGTAAGTGAACGTCTTTTGGCACTTCACGATTCACCCATAACTACTGGTGAACAAATGTTTAAGATATTTGAATTAATTTGTAAAGAATTAAACTTAGATTGGATAAATTATTTAGTTGGCCAATCATATGACGGTGCTCAAAACATGAGAGGCCAATATAATGGACTGCAAACATTAATTAAAGAAAAATGTCCCACAGCAATTTTTGTTTGGTGCTGTGCACATAGGCTAAACTTAATAGTTTCAAAATTAATAAGTTGTAGTTTAGATCCAGTTGACCTTTTTGGAAATTTAGAAACTTAGTATAATTTCATTTGCGGTAGCAAAAAAAAAGTCGCCTATTATGAAGCCATGCAAAAAAATTGTTCTTTGAATAAACAAGGTCGTCGATTAAAAAGAGTATCTACAACACGATGGATGTCTCACAATTATGCACTAGAAGCAGTTCTAGAAACATTTGAACCTATTATTGACACTTTGCAACACACCAGAGACACTGAAGGGCGTGATGATCATGCTGTAGGGCATATGGCAGGGTGTTTAATGGACTACTTACTTTCAAAGCGATTTGTTATTGTTGTAGATGTGTCAACACTGATATTGTTATTATTATTATTATTATTATGATTACGTTATAAAAGTATGGTTATGCAGTAGATGTTATTATTCAATAAAGAGTTACTTGATATACATAAAACATGGCGCTGTGAAACTTATGTATGTCAATGCGAGAATTAAACTGTAAATACAGTATAAACACATATCGTAATACCGTAGATTGTCAGAATGGACTTAAAAGCCCCTAAAGAAATGAGCTTCAACGGTAACATCGAAGGAAACTGGAAAAATTGGAAGCAACGTTTGGCACTGTACCTACTCGCAAGTAACAAAAACACGTGTCCGGACGAGACAAAAACTGCCATAATGCTTACGTTAATTGGAGAAGAAGGCATCAATATCTACAACACATTCAGTGAACAACAAATCCATAATGACAAGAAGATTCCAATTTTTGAAAAAGTAATTTCAGCATTTGATGAGTACTGACTAGGAAGGAAAAATATTGTATTCGAGAGATTTAATTTTCTTAAATACAAACGTCAACATGGACAGTCACTGGAAAACTTCATCACACAGTTAAAACTATTGGCAGCATCTTGTGAGTATAAAGAACTCACAGACTCTATAATAAGAGACCAAATTATTATTAATACATCAGACGTAGTTATCCAAGAACGCTTAATCAATATGTCTGACCTATCGTTAGAAAAAACTATTGAAATCCTCAAACAATCAGAAAATGTTAAAAAACAAGTTGAACTTATAAACAAAGTGGAAAAATCAGAAGCAGAATATTCACATTCGCATATAGATTTTATTAAAAGTAAATACGAGGCTTCAAATAAAAC